CCATAAATAGTAAAGACTAGAGGCCGCCCGCGACTTCGTACGCGTGGATCCTGTTTTGCCCCTTTTCCCGAATTTTCTTTGCTATAAACCTCACGGAGCTTGAGACCTTTCCAACGAATGCAAAACCGTGGAAATCGGTTCGTGCGTTCTGGAGTTATAGCGTCAGGGAGGAAAACCCGACTTATTTTTATATAGTAGATATTAAAATATTTGCAGTGGAACAAAAAGTGATGGTGAGAGACAGTAGAAAATCATTGATCTTTGCCAATCATGTACTTTGGACTTTGTGGCAGGTTGTGGCGAGTTTAAACGCTTTGTTTAAAATGTCAATTAAAACTTTTATCTGATTCCGATATTGGGTCGCTCAATATCGGAATTGAAATATCGGATCTCGCAGTCCGAGATTCCGATATTACGAGATTCCGAGATTCCGATATTCATGCCCTAGTTGCGATTCGCAACGTTAATTAATATCCGTTACTCGGATACACTCGCGGGCATCACTAACACGTAGTTATTATCGAGTCTGCAAGCGTCGCCGGAGATCACGTAGGGGACCGGTCGTCGTGAGAGGCCGCCTCCGCCGGCCGGCCTGTGTTAAATTACCGACTAAGGCCCGCTGCGATCGTGATCGTAAAAATGTGCAAGTTAACGGAAAATCTGTATGTACCCACACCACATACATACCGACCTCCCGGCGAATAACCGGTAAGAGGTGCTGAGCTTTTTGTTTTTCGAAACTCGCTTGCGTGTCAGCGACTTTCTTTTGTTATGGCCAGCAATAAAACATCTGCGAATCGGTCACATTTCTTTAACGTTGATTAATTAAAACAACCGAACCAGAACGCGTACTGCACAACTGTTAGGGGTCATCCATAAAGTACGTCACACGTAAATAGGGGGGGAGGGGGTTGACAAAGTGTGACATGGTGTGACAAGGGGTGGGAGGGGTCCTAAGTTTTGTGACATCACATTTCAATTGTTTCAAATATTTGATATAATGTTGATTTCATTAAAAAAAAGTACTTAATTTAAATTAAAATAAAACTAATTTCGGAACTGCTGTTAATTTAATAATTTTTCGATGTGAAATTGTGAAAACATGTGACGTCACACTAGGGAGGGGGGGTCTCAGAAATGTGACCACCTGTGACATGGACGGAGGGGGGGTCAAAAAATCATGAAATTCGTGTGACGTACTTTATGGATGGCCCCNTAATCGAGTTTCCCAACAGGGAGGCCTTCGGATGAATATGGAAAAAACTAAGCTTATGTCGAATGTCCATGTTGCTCCTTACCCAGTTTCGGTTAGGAGCTCGATTCTCGAGATTGTTGACAAGTAAGTATGTCTATCTCGGACAAACGATCAGCTAGGTAGTTAGATGCAATTTCGAGAAAGAGGTAAATCGTGGAATACAAGGACGAAAGTCTTCAATTAGTGTGTGTTACCAGTGATGATATACGGCTCGAAAACGTGGCCTTTGAATATAGGGCACATCGTGCTATGGAGAGGGATAAGCTTGGTATTTCTTTACGAGATCTAATCAGAAATGAGGAGCTCCGTAAACTAACTAAGGTCGCTGACATAGCCCGACGGATTAGCAAGCTGAAGTGGCAATGGGCAGATTTAGAACAAGTTAAATTAACCATAAATAGTAAAGACTAGAGGCCGCCCGCGACTTCGTACGCGTGGATCCTGTTTTGCCCCTTTTCCCGAATTTTCTTTGCTATAAACCTCACGGAGCTTGAGACCTTTCCAACGAATGCAAAACCGTGGAAATCGGTTCGTGCGTTCTGGAGTTATAGCGTCAGGGAGGAAAACCCGACTTATTTTTATATAGTAGATATTAAAATATTTGCAGTGGAACAAAAAGTGATGGTGAGAGACAGTAGAAAATCATTGATCTTTGCCAATCATGTACTTTGGACTTTGTGGCAGGTTGTGGCGAGTTTAAACGCTTTGTTTAAAATGTCAATTAAAACTTTTATCTGATTCCGATATTGGGTCGCTCAATATCGGAATTGAAATATCGGATCTCGCAGTCCGAGATTCCGATATTACGAGATTCCGAGATTCCGATATTCATGCCCTAGTTGCGATTCGCAACGTTAATTAATATCCGTTACTCGGATACACTCGCGGGCATCACTAACACGTAGTTATTATCGAGTCTGCAAGCGTCGCCGGAGATCACGTAGGGGACCGGTCGTCGTGAGAGGCCGCCTCCGCCGGCCGGCCTGTGTTAAATTACCGACTAAGGCCCGCTGCGATCGTGATCGTAAAAATGTGCAAGTTAACGGAAAATCTGTATGTACCCACACCACATACATACCGACCTCCCGGCGAATAACCGGTAAGAGGTGCTGAGCTTTTTGTTTTTCGAAACTCGCTTGCGTGTCAGCGACTTTCTTTTGTTATGGCCAGCAATAAAACATCTGCGAATCGGTCACATTTCTTTAACGTTGATTAATTAAAACAACCGAACCAGAACGCGTACTGCACAACTGTTAGGGGTCATCCATAAAGTACGTCACACGTAAAGAGGGGGGGAGGGGGTTGACAAAGTGTGACATGGTGTGACAAGGGGTGGGAGGGGTCCTAAGTTTTGTGACATCACATTTCAATTGTTTCAAATATTTGATATAATGTTGATTTCATTAAAAAAAAGTACTTAATTTAAATTAAAATAAAACTAATTTCGGAACTGCTGTTAATTTAATAATTTTTCGATGTGAAATTGTGAAAACATGTGACGTCACACTAGGGAGGGGGGGTCTCAGAAATGTGACCACCTGTGACATGGACGGAGGGGGGGGGGGGGGCAAAAAATCATGAAATTCGTGTGACGTACTTTATGGATGGCCCCTTACACAACTAATTGAACTAACAGACGCAATTAAGAATTTCATATTACACGGATATTTTTCCGTTGCATATAAACTAGGTATTCATATTCCGCACGTCAACATAAAGATGCCTATCGCAATTACTTATCCATATAAGAGCGTGTCGCGACTGTTATTGTCTTTGTGAGGCTTACGCTTGATAAGATTACAATAATGAATGTGACATTCAAGTGTGCCTGTGTGAATCAACGCGTTTCCAAGAGCCGCTGGGGCGGGTCGGGTGTAGGCATAGCCTGGCTGGTATGTACATGTAGAATCGCATACGTGGTAACGCTATTCACATCGGATGCATGTAGGCCGAGCGCCCATTCAGCCGTCGCAAAATGAAACTGAATGCCATTTCATCTCAAGATGCGCCTCTCGCCACAGATCGGCGGGGTCACGGGTGGGGGAGGGGAGCCGCCCGGCAACTGCGCCATAACTTGCCGCGCACGTACAACCAGACAATCGCAATTATTATTAACAGATATACGTTTAATGATCGTGTGTGCCGCGCTCAAACGGCCCGATGTAATTTTAACGTCGCAAGCGCGCGCGATTGTAGTGTTTCCGTCATTGCGGCTTTCGTGTGAGAATCGCTTGAGTGCGGCGGTGAATGTGTCGTTTCGGGGTGGGAATTAGCGGGAAGACGGCGCCGGGTGTGCGGGGGTGGGCAAGGGGGGAGGGGGGTCAAGTTCTTGCGGAGTGAGTTAGCAGTCTCGATGATTTGTAGCGCGGTTAACATTCATCTAGCGGACTGTAGAGACACCGGGCATAACTCATGGGAACAAAGACAGATCGCAATGGCAAGCGATATGAAAACGCGTCACCGGTGGGTATGGCCGATGGGATGTGCCGGGGTTCGATGAGACACCACTGCATGTATGTACTCTATACATACAGGTACGCTAGTGTGCGTGCGCCGCGTGGCGGCAGGCCTGGCTCACTCCGCGCGGTACATCCGATAATTACCTACAGCGAAGCGCCCCGCCGGCGGGTATTATATCAGTCGAGTGTCACGCGCGCGCCCGTCAGGACGCTGGCGTGCGTTGTAGTACCTAATTCTATGATCGAAGTATTATTTAAAAATGGACATAAAGAGAAAGAAATATTATTGTGCGGCGTTCGGGTGTTTAAATTCGAAAAGAAATCTACCGGATTTATCTTTTTTTTCGCTTCCCAAAGATGCTGAAAGGTATGTTGGCCATGTAGGTAATCAATAATTCTTAGGATAGTATAGGAACCTAACCTACCATGACTACTGCTCAGAATGCGTTCGTTCGTTTCAGTCAAAAATGACGTCCACTGCTGGACAAAGGCCTCTCCCAAGGTTTTCCATAATCAATGCGTACTTACCTACATACGTACCTCATTACAAATAAGTAGATTAATTATTTTTTTACTAGACACTACTAGACAGCAACCCTAACAGCGTAAGAAGAGTTCAGAGGCACGCGATAGAAAGAGACAAAACTTGTAGGTGAATAAAATTGTAGGTACCTAGTGCTGTGCGAGCTGAATTCCACTGTATCGCGTCGTAGCAAGACTCGCATTTATTTAAATCGTCTTGCGGAGTAATCCTTCTGTAGCTGTACTATTACTTATTCTGTGGTGGCGGACAATGCCACCCGCGCGACACCGCATTCTTTGCCGAAACTCGAACGCCCCAATACGCAAACACGAAATTAGACTGGAGGAATTTTGCCTTCCACGAACGCCGACTTTGAATTGGGATATCGATTTTTTTCCTCAATTCAGAATCAATTTTGTTTTATGAAGGCAGTACAAGAGAAAAAGGAATTATTTACCGAGTTCAAGAGCTAAATTTGGAAACTTGTTGATTTATCACGTAATTCACGGCTTAGTTGGCGCAACAAATCGGTAATTAATTTGTCGGCAGACTCGCAAAAACGTTAGGACTTCGGAATTAACGAACTAACAATACTCGGAAAGTTCAAATATTGGCTTCTTAACATAAAGTCGTTTCTAACTATAAATTAGTATTGACCTCAAATAGCGTTGAGAGTTGAGACTAATTAAATTTGCAAGCACGGCAAACGAGAGACGATGTAATAATTCACAACTAATCTGATATAGATGGTAAACAAACTTACTTTGTAGTCCAATTTGATCCAACAGCGACTATAACCTGGAACAAAATAAGGGCAAATTAGTATCATGTTCAATTTGTTAAACAACCAACAGACACAGAGAGAGCCTGGGAATGCTTTGAAGCTCGCTAAAGATAGCGAAGTCTGAAATCCTATTTATGGTTAGACGGTCGTTCGGCTTTTAGCAACAATGGAAATCAAGAAACATAAATTAAAGCATAAACGTAGGCTTAGATGAAACTGCTAACTCTACCTACTGCAAAAATATTTACGAAAGTATATCTACTATTCCGGAGGTTGCGGGTTCGATTCCCGCACAGTACAAACATTTGTGTGCATGAACATATTTGTTTGTATTGGACTGGGTGTTTTCTATGTATAATAAGTATGTATTTACAAAAAAAAAAAACGTATTTAAGTATGTTTATATCCGTTCTCTAGTACCCATAGTACAAGCTTTGCTTAGTTTGGGACTAGAAGCGCAGTGTAAAATGTCCAAGGATATTTATTTATTATTTATTATTATTATTATTTAAGTACATATTGTGTAATATGTAATATTGTACGATGTGGAAGTCGTTGGGGGAGGCCTATGTTCAGCAGTGGACGTCCTGTGGCTGAAATGATGATGATGATGATGATATTGTCAGAGCTCTATATTTTTAGACGAAAAATTTCCTTGCTTAGTAGTAGGATTACAAGGACGCTGAACTTCTATTCTTAGAGATTCCGCCGTTCTGTTTACTAAAAATCTAAGAACTTGTAGAAAGTGACATTTATATGGCTTCATCAATAAAGGTTTCTCCAGTAGAGCGAGCGTGTTAGTTCAAAATTGATCTTCCTTCAATACGATGAAGATGTAGGTGTAATTGTACGAGTAATTGGGACAGCCTTGGAAAAGGCTTATTAAAGCGCACGAATTTAAAGGTCAAGGAAACGTGAATATAGGAACTTTTAGTTTTTTTTATGCTAGACAAGACAATCGCACCTGGTGTTAAGTGAGATGCAGTCTAGGATGGTACATATCTGCCCTGTGATTGCCTATTCACTCTCGCCTTGAAAACGCCCGGATTATAGTGTTCAGGAAATACAGCAGCAGGCAGCGAATTTTAGTCCCTAGCTGTTCGCATTATAAACGAGTCGTCGAAGCGCTTAGTTGAAATTTATTTATTTATTTATTTATTTAGGAAAACCAGGGTTTTACAGTGTGTAATAATAACATAAGATAGGCAACGAGTAAACCACTTATAGGTTCCCACAGGTAAAAACAATTTAAAAAATTTAGTGAGCCTTTGCACCAGGGTTCTTATTAACTATCTGGTCAGTAGTAATCAAAAGATTAACTATAGACAAATGGATTTTCTGGACAGCGGAACATTCCATCCTTATTAATTCCATAATAAAACACCCTCTCGGGATTCGGCCTCGGCATTTCTCAGCTACTTTTGTCACTTCGGTCTTGACCCAATGTTCGGTGTCGATCGGGCCGCCCCGCCCGCTCCCGTTGTGCCCGCGGACGAAATGGACAATGCGCATAAAAAATCAATAAAGCGAGAACGGCCTTCGCGTAGGTCGCCCGATCACCGCCCGGACTTGTATTAAGTTAAACTTTTCCATTCAACGGGGGATTTATTCTTTGAAGGTATTAGGGCGTGTTGTAATAGTTTGATGGTGGCTCGAGGGTAAAGGTTACGGCGCGAGTTTTTGGTGTAACATAAATAGTGGCTAGCTAAGTTTTACATGGTTTTACTTTATCCTGTGGGGCACACGTGGTTCACAAAGAGACTTGTCACCAAAACTCGTTCATTATTATTGTAAGAAAAGCTAAGTAATTTATCATTTATGTGTAAGATTTCCGAATGAAATGATGGAAAATACTTTTGAAATCATTAGATAATACTTATAGTAGTTGTATTATAGTACTTATAATAGTCAATGGGAAAAGCTAATAAAAGTTACCTTTCCATCTTACAGAAATTATTTGTAAGTTTACAAAGGACGACGACGTTCGTGTTTAACTATAAATTGTGTAACATTTCACCGGTCTTTTCGTAGACGTCTAAAGTTAAATATAAAACGCATGGTTATATCTTAACTTGTGGGTCGACGATATCCACATAAAACACGTGCCGTTAATAATAGGACCTCACAACAGTAACAACTTCACAAAGTAATAAAATATTGAGTTGACATGCGACCTTTTCAAGTTTGTTGTTCATTTCATCAAGCCATTATTGACAAAAATCGTGAACTGTACAGTTGTCCGCACTTCCAAATAGACATTTTTATTGCAAAAAAGCCCCTATTTCAATTAGTTTAATAAATGTTTTAATTTAGATTCATGTGCGTCTCGAGTTAGACCAATATGGAGAGCAGACAAAGTTAAACTAACAGAAAATTCGAAAGTTTCAGGCTCAGCTTTTGCTGACAACTTTAGAACACTAATAAATAGACTTTATATCGAATCTGTCATATCCATATGAGTATGAATCTGTCTGTTACAATATTTTTGTGTAAACTTTAAAGTGAAATCGAGAAAGGACCTATTCATTCAAGCTTATTTTTTCAGGTACCGTTAGTTAATATCATAAATGCAAGAATTTGCGATCAAGGTGTTCTCGAGTATAATCTCAATCATGTAAGTAAGTATAATGATGATCAACTGAGGAAAAAATGTATTTAGGAAAAACCCCATCGTCAGGTTGAAGCAGCAAGAACAAGAAATAATAATGATGAGAATGTAACATTCGATAGATTTCGCGATCACTTCAAAACAGAAGATGTTAGCGATTCGATTGAATAAAAATCGAGAGGAATGTTAAACTGTGTACAACCGAATAATAGCCACTCAGTTATCAAGGTGCAATGATAGTACGAGATAGGCGCACGTTTATAAAACATAACTTGGCGGCAGTTCAAAGAGTTAACGCCGTTTCATTCAGTGCCAAGTGCAATATTTTTAGATGGAGAGTGACAGAGCAATTTCGTTGCGCGTAATCACTATATTCGTTTCGGATGCGTCGACCTAACAAAAAATGTGGTATAAATAACCTGATGCTTATTTATATGATACGCTCTAGGAATGTAAACTTTACTTCAAAGTCGCATTAATAAGATAGATAACTGTGCCTAGAGAAAGAGAAAAAGGTACCTACCTACTTAGAATTTATTTACAAGATTTCATAATAAAGTGGCGACAACATTCTATAGGTAGCTATTATTGTCAGGTCAGGAACAATTTCTTTTTGCAAATGGCCGTTTATAAAAACACGAAAGAAAACTTCAATGTAGTGTCTACTAAGACCAATGATCCTAGAGTCAGTATCATGTTTGAAACAAAATTAGGTTTCAACTCTCAAGCGACTTTCCCATGAGTCGTCTGCCCCGAGTCACAAAATATAACAGAAGACAAACTCCATACTAAACGCGCTCGAGCCACGCACACATAGACACCGCTCCTAGCAAGACTGTCTTGGACGAATGCGAGCGCGACGTGGCGCGACAGACGTTCGCCACACGTTCGCTGTGGTTCGCTTGAGTCACGCGCCGGTCAACCGCCTGTGATATTATTTTGTTTTGCGAAATTGACGAAAATGAGTGAACAGAAAAAGTCGTATTATAATTATTCGGTATTTGGTTGCTTAAACTCATCATTAAATACCGAATTTTCATTTTTTAAATTACCAGTTGATTCGGGGAGGTAAGTAAGTTATTTATTTGAATTTCAATTGAAATTGAAAGCCAACTCAATTATTAGGAATATCGAATTGTTTTAGAGAGGTTTTAGGAATTATTGGATAACTAGCTTTTGCCCGCGGCTTCACCCGCCTGAAATTTAGTTTGTCACAGATCGTCATAAATTATAGCTTGTATGTTATTCAGGGTTATAAACAATAATACTGTAATGTTACATCAAAATCCGTTCAGTAGTTTTTGCGTGAAAGAGCAACAAACATCCAGACATCCAAACTTTCGCATTTATAATATTAGTTGGATAATAGTGTCAACCACTCAACTAAATACTACTTCCTTCTCGTGTATTTGTTTGCAAACTATTACTATAATAACGTACTAAATATAAATAAGTACACGTGGATATCTGTTATTGTCTTTCTTGCATAGTATTAAGAGTAACATTTTTCTATCATAACGAAATAAACACAACACATGACAAGACAACCCTGGCGCGACGGCCGAGCGTGCGAGCGAGAGAGGTATGCAAAGCGAGGTACATACATGAGTTTACCTTCTGTTATATTTTGTGCCCGAGTGAAGTTCTCACTGCAAATGTCATGGGGCATAGGTTAACTACGTCTGCCTACAACAGTGTCCTATCCATTCCAACAGTGACAGTAAATTGCGACCAAATGCGCTTGTTAAGTCTTCGAGCAACAGTGTTGTCTATACAAAATGGAATGCAAAAAGTATTGTTTTCGATGACTAGGCGAAATCAGAGATATGATACGAGACGATACGATGTGATTCACGTTTGTTACATTTCTGACACGTTCGATGAGTATGCATAATGTTTAGCTGCTGATTGATAATCTTAAAGGCGCCATTAAAAAAATAAGATCTATATTCATTGCAATGAGGATCATTTCGATTTTTAGCTGTGAATGCAGATTTATAGGGCTAAGAAATCCTTAAAACACAGTGCAAAAATTTTTGTTCTACGNGAATTTTCTACAACAGTACTGATCCTCATTTATTCCAATCCAAGGCCACTGTTTGGTAACAAACGACACCACAATGCAAGAGCAATTTTTTTTTCAAATCTCGAATAAAGCAATCGTGCTCCTGGTATTCTAGCATACTGCCGTGCTGACATTCCTACCCCAAGATGATTTATAGAATGACTATTTTGCAAAATGACGTAAAATTACGTAACAGCGTAATGGAATTCTTAAACAACATCGAACGAATTTGAGAGGTAATCCTAAAAGGTGTATTAATCATGCTGAGAAAAGGGTTTGCGGAAATTCGAGGGAGTTAAAGGGCGTCGTCGAGGGATATTATAGGACAAGTGGGCCGGAGT